GCGTCACTGGGATCAGTGGTGCAAGGTCTAAATAAATCTGATGATTTCCTTAAGACCATGCATGAAAATGGTTATAGTTGGAAATGAGCTACGAATGCTAAATAAACTTTAAAATCTGATAGGGGATACTCAGTTTTACATAAAATATTCTGCTTCAGGTCTTGCAGACTTCAAGTGTTACCTTTATTAATTCTATTGCTATTGAAAATTACCTGTTAAATCAATTTAATGTCATTTAAAAACTGTCAGCACTGCTCTCTAAAGTTAGCTGAATTATGTTATTTTGCAGTATATATAATCATTCTCTTTACACATTTTATTCAACATTGATGAGCTTAATAAAAGCCTACTTATTTTCTGTATTTGGTTTTTAAATGCCCTTCAAAAGCTGCTCTATGAATATCACAAATAAGGTTTTATATCACTTTTAAAAAAATGAGATTGCTAACTCAGAAGAATTTATGAAATGATTTGATTATGAGAGGCAGCTACTGTCACATACATAGAACTCGAAGGTGCGTTTACACTGGTACAGCAGTTTACTGGTACAGCAGTAAATTTAATCTGTAAGGAAAGATAGAAAGGGAACTAGAAAAAGAGCAGCAAAGAGAGGGTTTAATCTTTGATTGAGAATACAAGTATCACAGCAGATTTTCATTAATGAGGGGTTGAAATTGTGTCCTTAAAACAAGAGAATATATAACTTTACATGGAAAATATATTTAGCAAGGTAAAGAAGTAAATAAAAGTTTCTATGTTCCATTTATCAAAGCGACCTAGATTTTGAACTTTGAAAAAGAAAAACGAGATACACACTGATGCCCTGAATTGCTATTAAGAAATATAAAGATCCATCTGAACAGACAGGTTGACAACCACCAAACAAAGCAGCAGCAAATTAGCAACCACCTCTTTTTCTTGTGAGCTTCATAACCTCAGATTCTTACTGATACTTTGACATATTTTAGGTATACTATGACTGCTTATGGTAGAATTCACATAGCATAAAATCCACCATTTTAACCACTTTACGGT